CACTGTGGTCTAGCATGATGAAGAAAGTCTTTCTTACTTATACTGTACCTATTCTCCATCCTCATCCAGACCTCTGGTCTCCTGGTTATTCCTTTTTCTTCTACCTATAAGCCCCCAGAGGCTTACTTTCTTCTCTCTCTATTCTGAAGCATTGGTTCATCATTTCAACCTGTCTGTACACCTTCATTTTCATGTCCTGCCAGTCTTGAAGCACCCAACCCCAGATCTGTCAGACCACCCACCTTCTCCACTTCTAAACTCAGGCTGCTCAGTCTTGTGGGACAGTTTTACTAACCCAACAGATTGGTCCGTCCTGTCTACTGCATGCAAGAGTTGTTTCTTGAAAAGCAAATCTCTGTTTAGAATCCCCTCAGGGTTCCCCTCTGTCTTTATGTTTCAGAGCAAACTTCTATTGTTATTTTGCACTTATTAATGATCTGTAGCCTTATCAGGGAAATCTGTTTCCCTGGCTTCTGCACCTTCCTCTTTGCCAGAATAACTCCGGTTTAAGGTCACCAGTAACCCATCTGGCCATAACATGCATCTCATGGCAATCCCCTTTATGACACTCCTGCCCCACTCCATGCACACATACATGTACTTTTCTGGTTTCATTGCCTATTAAGGCCCCTCCTTTAGAGGCATTATCCTTTGCTTTATACTGTATACTTAGCACCTAGCATAGTAGGCATAGTAAATATTTGTTGAGAATGAAGGGAAGTTTGAGCTAGTCTTAAAGAATGAGAACATTCTAGGCAAGAGAAAACATGGTCAAATACAGAAATGAGTATGTCTCTATGGCACATTTAGAGAACAGTGACTAGGTTGCTGTGTGTTAAAAAGATATGCTTTGCGGAGAGCAGCATACAGGGGTCTTTCCATCCATATCTTATCCAATGTTTTCTTGACACTTCTCACCCGCTGCTACTCCAGTCTTCTCTTGCTCTTTACAGCAAAAGTCCTCCAGTCGTGGACTCTCTGGTTCCTCTACTGTTCTTTCTTGAATTTGGTCAACTCATGCTTTAGTTCCACTGCTCAACTGGAATGGCTCTTAGTGACTTCTGTGGTGCTAATCCAATGGACATTTGTCATTTGTCATCTTGCTTGTTTGTCCACATCATTTGACAGGGTGGTTGCTCCGTTCTTGCTAATATACTTTCTTCCAGGACACCAAACTATCTTGGTTTTCCTCCTACCTCACTAATTGTAAGTTCCTCAACTCAGCCTCAGACAACAGAGTGGCCCAGGTTCAGCCCTCAAAGTCTTTTCAGTCCACACTCATTCCCTCACTGATCTGATCCCATCTTTTATCTTTAAACATCATCCACATGCTAAAACTCCTCACTGTCTATCTCTAATCCAGATCTCCCTCCATGGACTCCAGACTCTTACAGCTAACTTCCTATCAACATCTCCACTTGGAAGTCGAATAGATAACCCAAACTTAACATATCCAAAATTAAACTCTTAATGTTCCCCTAAAAAGCTGCTTCTCCTGCAGCACTTCCCATTTCAGTTTATGGCAACTCTAGCTTTCCACTTGCTAAGGCTAGAGCCTTGAATTCTTACAGTTCACAATTCACAAGAAATGCCCTTTAAAATGTATCCAGATGTAGCCACTTCATTGTTATCATCATGTTCAGTCATCTAAATTATTATAGTAACATCCTGATTCTTCTCACCTTTGATGTCCTACCATCTGTTCTCAATGCAATAGTCAGAGTGAGTGACCCTTTTAAGATAAATTAGAGTATATCACCATGCAAAACCCTATAGTGGTTCCTTTTTCACTCCAGAATAAAATTAAGTTATAATAGCCTGCAAGACCTATCTGGCCTCCTATACCTATCTGATCTCCTGTCCTACTCCTTTTCCTTTATATCGTAGTTCAGCGAAACCATCCTTCTTACAGTTCTTCAGTCATGCTACTGCATGACTTGGGGCCTTTGCTCTTGTTTTTCTTTCTGAAATGCTCTTTCCCCCCATAGTTACATGGCTCACTTCCTCACTTCCTTTAAGTCTTTGCTTAAATGACACCAGTTTAGTGAGGACTACCCTAACCACTCTATTCAAAATTATAACCTACATTTGTCTATCTTACCCTCCTGGTCCCCCCCCCCACCCCCACCCCAGGCCACTTATGAGCTTCTATGTGCCTTCTATTCATTCATCTTATTTGTTTTGTTTACTTTTTACTGACAGTTTTCTCCATGCTGGAAAATAAGCTCCATTAAGACATGGATTTGTCTTTTCTTCATAAAACAATGCCTGACACAAGTAATTAATAATTACTGAATTGAGCTAGAGTAAAGGTAGGAATTTACATCTGAAAGTCTTTTGGAGATCTTAAGTTTCATTTAAGTAAATTCTGTAGCCATGAAGAAAAGATATGTGAGCCCCAAGTATAAAGAAGATACGTTTGAACCAGGAAAGATTTGTTAATGGTTGTAGGTCTGCATGTACCGTTATCATGCTTCTGTTGTCATTTGGTATTAAATTATGTTTAGTCCAGTGATTGATACAGGACTGGATTTTAGATTGCCTTCCCACTCTCACAACTAACAAGGCTTTAATCAGGGCATTAAGGAGCTCTAAATAGGCTTTGCTTTTGAATCTGCATATCAGGAGGGGGCTGGGAGCATGAGTGGGAGGATGTCATGTCCCAGTGATTAATGATCTCTAGGAAGCTGAAAAGGGGAGAGTAATATACACAGTATTTCTACCCCCTGGAGTAGGAATGCAAACACCATTGTGCAGATCTGTGCATAGTCACTGACTTCCTGGTAGCTGGAGAATTTCATACACTCTTCTACCACAAATAAAACTGTCAGAGAAGTGACAGAGCTCAAAAAGCTGGCCTTCCTTACTTAAAAAGAATAGCTCAAACACAGTGAGCCAGAAAATTAATTTTGTAGTTGTTTGGAAACCCAGTTGTTTAATAAGAAATGAGAAAATGAGAACTTTTCTTGAAAAGCCTAAAAGCTCCAAATATTTGTTGAATCAAACTCAGCATTTGGTTTCTTAAATTTACTGAATTCCTGGAAACTACTTATTTTAAATGAATTTAAAGGAAAACATTCCTTTGTAATGAAATGCACTGTCTTAAACTTTTCAGTGTGTTCTCTATGGTAGATTTAGAAAATCATCCTATCAATGGACTCCTGTGCCTGTTGCCCTATGTGTCGAAAAAAAATCCTAACATTTCACAATACTTATATGGTTTTAAGAAAGTAATTCTATGGTAGAGTTCTTTTGTTTGTTTTCATCCCCAGTGAATCTGTGATATTTAATAACAGTTTCCAAATGCTTAAGTCAGAAGGGAAACATTTTTAACTCGATAAGGAACTACAGATGTTTGCAAAAATTTTTAAATGAAAGTTTGTGGGAAAAGCATTGTATTTCAACCAATTGTGATCATTTACAAATAATCAAAATGAGGGCCTTTATTTAACAGTAGCAGTAGTAATCACAGAAGCAGTGACAGATTTTTAATGGGGACTTCCAAGTAACTTGTATTTTACCAAGAACCATTCATTGGTAGGACTTGTTATTTTTGTTCTTGGTTCAGATTTTTTTGATACCGTTTACATCACTACTCATTGTTCTACATTGTCTAATTTTTAAACTTTGATTTTTTAAATATTTTTTCTATAATATAAAAAAAAAGGAAGGAAATACTCATTCTTGGGGAAATAAGAGCCACACTTCAGAGTAAGGAAAGAAAAAATTTTATATTTTATTTCTGTTTTGTTGGTGTTTACTTTGTTTATTTTTGAGGGTGTCACTATAATCTAAATTAAAATGAACTACTGTGGTCTAAATTAAGGCAGCATCAGATAGAATCAGCCCTGAGTTTGGTTTCCAAGTGGTTAGACTTTTCAATTGCATTTGCAAGAGTTTATTTTTAGTCAGGATGTGGTTATTTTTAGATCTGCTTCTCTGTCACTAGGAAATGTAATGCCTGTCTTTCCATTGTTGTTTATCAGGAAGTTCTAAGGCACAGGCTTATAATATCCAGTTAGCAGAGAACACTGCCTCTCCTTTTAGATGAAAGAATATGAAATAATCCTTGAAGGAAAATCTGTTAATTGAGAACATGTCTAATTTTTTAAATTATTAGTGTCACTTTAGTCTCTTACATGCTGAGCAACAGAACAAGATTTTTAGGGAACATCAAAAACACAAGGTTTGGGTTCCCCCTACTGGTATGCATCCCAGGTGCATGTGTTCCTTAGTGAAAAGGCCTAGGGGATTAGAGATTTGAAATGGCTATGTGGACCTCTTTTAAAGAGATCTGGTGATGAGAAAAGGAGAAAAAAAACACCGTTACCTATTTTCTGATAATGTCTTTTAAAAAAATTATATGATATATATGCTAACTAAGTTGGATGTAAATTAAAAAAAAATAAAATAAACTGAAAAAAATTACAAATAAAAAATAAATAAATAATGAAAACCTCAAACTATTTTAAAAATTAGATGATCCAAAAATTGTATTTTTTACATCTAGAAAGAACAAAACTTAATCCCATAATATTTGGTTTTTTAATGTTGTTGCCTCTGTGATAAGCTGCTTATATACAGCTTCTCAAATGCTTTATGTTGTAATCTAAGGAATAATAAAACACCAGTGGCTCCACAAAAGGATTTAAAACCCCAAGGAAAAAAAAAAGCTAGCATTGTGTCATAATAAAATTAAAGAGATGGTGTTAAAGCTCACTAATTCCTATTTTAGCATTTCAGAAAGTGACAGGACATCATGTGATTGTGTGTGTCCATTTAACATCTGTTCTTTCTAATTTCTCATATGTGTATTTAAAACTGTTCTCTTTATTTTCTGTCTCTTAGTCAGTAAATGCCAAGTAATATTAAAGGCTTGTTTTGAAATAGAAAAATTTTAATTGACTCCTAAAAGTCATTTCTGAACTTCTTATTAATGTTTGCATCTTAAAGGACTATTCAATGAAATTAAAATATTGTATTTTTAAATTGCTTTTCAGCAATGCAGTCAACCTTTTAAGCAATGTTCCGGTCTCTTGTTTGGATGTTCTCATTTGTCCATTAACCCATGAAGAAACAGCCCACGAGGCAACGACTCTAGATGAACTGCCCAATGATAAAACAGCTGAGAAAGAAACTGTTTTGAAAAACAATACCATGGTATACAATGGTATGAATATGGAAGCCATTCATGTTTTACTCAATTTTATGGAGAAGAGAATAGACAAGGTAAGGCTGATAAAATGGAGACCTTGGGAAGATGTTTCTAAAGAATGTAAATGTGCCATATATACAGACATCACAGGACATGATTTTTAAATTTAATCTTTTTTTTTTTATAGCTGACATACTGCATAATTATGCCCTGGAAATCATTTTATTACAATATACGATTAATTGCTACAACAAGTCAATTTACTTGTTTAAAGACAAAAAATTTGTTAATGCAACACCAAAACTGTGACTAGTGCCTGCAAGTGAAGGAAAAATTAATGACTTTTCCATGTAGGTATTTTTTAAGACCTAGAAGTAAAAATTATATGCCCACAAAACCTGAAGATAAATACTTTCCATAATACCTAAAAGCTATCTTTAAAAAAAATCGAGTTTTCATTAGTTGTGAGCTGCTTATTTTCTCTTGTCTGTCATATGCTTTGTCTGGTAGGTATACTAAAAGGCAGCAGGGTAGTATGGGTAGGTTGTCAAAACCTTTGCCTTATTTAAGCCCATTGGTTGAGCCATTGAGGACCCCACAAAATGTAGGAAAATCCAGGGAGGATAAAAATGGGCATTAATAAAAATGAAGATAACTGGTAGAATGAAGACATGGTTAGGAAAATAATTTCTTAAATAGTTTGTAAAGCTTTGGTAACATAAAATGTCTCCCCCACCAAAAAAGGAGTATTAATATACTCAGTTATATAGAGGAAAGTAATACTGTTAGAAACTAATGTAGTATGTCTGGTTTTCTTTATAGGGAAGCAGCTATAGAGAAGGTCTAACTCCGGTTCTCAGCTTATTAACAGAATGTTCCCGAGCCCATCGAAACATCAGAAAATTTCTCAAAGATCAGGTAACTGCTTAATGCATATTACACCTCATGGTTAATCTTCTTATATGCAGTTTCTAAAAATAGAATTAATGAGTTGCATTCTTTCATAATGGTTTACTTTCATAAAATCAGAAACTCAGAAAAGTTAGTTTTAATCTTTGAAATCTTACTAATCCGGGAAAAAAGTGATCGTGTGTATTTTTCTGAGTCATTGATTCATTTATTCAACTAATAGTGGAGATCTACTTTGTGCTGTGTTCTAAGCATTGTTCTAACCACTGAAAGACAGATGAAGTCTTTGCCTTGTGGAGTTTACCTTATAGTCGGAGAACAAAAAGTAAATGAATATGTTATAATGGCAAGTTGTGATGTGTTCTGAAGAAAGCAGGGGAAGGGGAGATTTAGGAGAATCAGCAGGGCCTCTCTGAGAAAATAACATTTGAGCGGAAACTTGGATAAATAAGAAAAGCATCTCTGAGAATATCTGGAAGAGGACTATAGAGAGAACATGTTCAGAGTTCCTCAGGTGAGAGGATGCCTTGGTGTGCTTATGGAAGAGCAAGGAGGTTAGACCAAGTTGACAAGGAGAGTGGTAGATGAAGTAAAAAAAGGTAAGCAAGAACCAAATAGCCTGAGGTTGTATAGGACTTTTGGTTCTCTTTTAAGTGAGATGGGCAAGCATTGGACCATTTTGAGAAGGGGAGTTGAATGTAGGGTACTTGTTTATATTTTGAAATACTCTGGCTACTATATGTAGGATAGACTAGGGGAATGTGAGTGGATGCAAGGAGGCCAGCTGGAAAGAGAGCTGATGGTGAATGTTTGGAGTAGGCTGATAGTAGAGTTGATGATAAGGATTCTTTCTACCACTGTGTTTTCTGTTCATCTGCTTGTGTCATATAACCTTTGTCTCCCCTTCTATCATGAGTGAATTGTCCCTGCTTTCTTCTGTGGCCAGCCTCTTCGCTTGTGTCCTAGATCCCTTTCCTTCTCACCTTCTCAAGAACTTTGCTTTTGCATTTATTTCCTCTCTTCTTATGTTAATCCTTTTTTTTTTTTTTAATGTACTGGGTCATTTCTGTCTTCATCCAAACACATCTTTCAATCTAAAAATAAAAAAACCTTCTCTTAATTCCATTTCTCAAGCTGCCTCCCCATTACTCTGTTCTTCTTAATGCAGTTTTCCTCAAAACACTTTTCTGTACTCACCTTCTCTATTCTTTTTACTCTTTAATTCTCTCCTGCACCCGCTGTAATTAGGCTTTCCACCCCACTGCAGAGGCACTCATCAAAAATCATCAACCCAGTAATGCCCAATCTAATAGTTCTCAAACCTTTTTTCTTTAATTCCCCAGTGCATTTTAATGTAATGCGGTATTCTCTCCTTCTTGAAATGCTTTCTTCACTTGGTTTCTAGGACACAATAGGGAACCTTTTTGCAATGTTTGAGTGCCCCGAGGCAATATTGCCTTGGTCTCCATTTCCACTCCCTTGGTGATCTCATTCAGCAGTCATGGTTTTGAAAATCATCTGTATGCTGATGACTCCCAAATTTATGTCTCTGGCCCTGACTTGTCCCCTCTGCTCCAGACTGATATAACAGGCTGCCTACTCATCTCCTCCCCTTAGATGTATACTAGGTATCTTAAGTTTTAACATATACCCGACTAAGCTCTTGATTCCCATCCCTTCACCTGTTTCTTTCCTTCTTTCCACATTTCGGTGCATGGTACAACCATTCACTCCACTGCTCATTTTTTGCAATACAGAATTTCCCTTGTTAAATGAACCAGCTTCATTTCCCCCCCCCCCCTTATGTTTATGATCAAGATTTAGTAAGCACCTTACCATACGTGAAGTACATTAATAGATACTGCTGCTAAGGAGAAATTAGAAAGTAGAGACTCTATCTTTGAGGAATTTACAGTCTATTGGAAGAAGAGAGTAGTACCCTGAAAGCATGAATAATCATTTAAGCCAAGTAAACTAGTTGATTAATGAATTGAAGTCATTTTCCAAGTTGATTATTTTAAGACATTCTACTGTGACTAGGAGGAGTTGGTGAATAGTAAATGAAAAATATTTTAAGTTTTCTATATTTTAGCTTTTTCACATAGGAGATCCAGGTTCAACTGAACTGTTTAGAGTTTAGATCTCTGGCCAGAAGAGCCAAAAAAAAAACCTGTTTGTTAAACAACTTCTCTATGTGAAGCTCTTGAGCCACATATTATGTAGAAACAAAGATTATGAGACCCTCTTTTTGTCCTTAAAGAGGCACTACAGTATAAAGAGATGAGGCATGACAAGTAAAGATAACTAAAGATACAAGACACACACAAAAATCCACTTTCTTCCTGAGAAAGATGCACTCTCAACTATGATGATTAAGAAAGGCAGAACATAAAGTAACAGGTGGTTAGTTTTGGTAATAGTGTAAATGGAATGACGGCTAGTTAATTATTACACCCTATTTCATTATTACCTGAAGGAACCCAACACATGCCTACCCAAAGGAAATTGGTCTTAAGTATTGAGGCAGGTAGAAAGAGAACAGATGGTAGAAAGTACCAACCCAGGTTGGGTTAGTCTGTGGAGAGGTTTACAGAAGAGATGAGGAATCTGTGGATTTGAGAGAAGAGATGGACAAGATTTGTCAAAATAAAAAATTTGTAGGGGCGCCTGGGTGGCTCAGTCGGTTGAGCGTCCGACTTCAGCCAGGTCACGATCTCGCGGTCCGTGAGTTCGAGCCCCGCGTCAGGCTCTGGGCTGATGGCTCGGAGCCTGGAGCCTGTTTCCGATTCTGTGTCTCCCTCTCTCTCTGACCCTCCCCCGTTCATGCTCTGTCTCTCTCTATCCCAAAAATAAATAAACATTGAAAAAAAATTTTTTTAAATAAAAAATTTGTTGGAGGGTAGTATTTGGGAGGAAATAGAATGAGTCTATACAAATGCAGTTTGGGAGTGGTATGTAACAATGAAAGCAACAAACTTATGTTTAAAAATTTTTATTTTAAGAAACACAAAACATTGGTAACAAAATTTTGGGGTGATAACCTCTGTTAATAGATTCTTTACTCTGGAACAGTAGGCGCATACTACATGAAATCACTTGTTAGATGTCTCATTCTTCTCTACATTCAGTGTATAGAGACCATATAGAACTCAATATGGTTAGCTGAATCAAATAAGGATTTATTGTGCAGTGACTTTGTGCCTATAGAGCACAGAAATCATGGTGCTCTACCCTATCAGAAATACTGAATATGGGTTCTGTAAACACTTTGGTAGCTTATTCAATTTTCTGGGATTTAGTTTCTGTTTGTGTTCACAGCTGTATCTCCAGTGTCTCCAATACCTCCTGATTCAGGATAGGCATTCAGTGTAGAAGGACAGAAAAGAAGAAAGTCAGTTGAATGGATTAAATAAAATAATATACACATGAAGGGTCCAGCACAGTAAATTATTATTTGACTTTGTTTTTATTGTCATTTACTACCTTAGTGCCTAGCTTATGGAAGGCACTTTTAAAAAGGTATTTGAGGAGTGTCTGGCTCAGTCAGTAGAACATGCAACTCTTTTGTAAATTCGAGCCCCATGTTGGGTGTAGAGATTATTTAAAAATAAAATCTTTAAAAAGAAGATCTTTGAATTCATTCATTCTTCCTTCAATCAGCAAATACTTATGGAACATTGTAATATGCCATGCACTGAGAGCAGTAAACAAAACAGAAAGAAGTCCCTGCCCCCATGGCAGTGACTCTTGTGGAAGAAGGCCAACAGTAAAGAAAAATATACACTGTATCAGGTGGTGATGAGTGCTGTGAGGAAGATTAAAGTGGCGGGCGGGGGTGGGGGTGCACAGAAAAGAATGCTCAAGGTTAGTCATATAGGGTGGTCAGGAAATGCCTTCCTGTAAGCAACATTTTCACATAGACCTAAAGTGAAGGGAATGAGCCACACAATTTTCTAGAGAAAGTGTTTCTGGGCAGAGGGAGCAGCAAATGCAAAGACCATGGTGTGTTTTAAGAAGTTCCATGGAGGCCTGTGCAGCTGTAGCAGCATAGGTCAGAAGTGTAGTCAAATTGGAGTTAGAAAAATAGCAAGAAGCTGGGTTATGTGAAACCTAAGGGAGTTGTAAGGACATTGTTTTCACTAGGAGTAAGATGAGAAGCCCTGGAAGCTGGAGGACTGAGACCAGGAATGACATGATCTGACTTTCAAAGGATCCCTAGCTGCTTTGTAGAGAATAAATCATAGAAGGGCGAGGTTTGAAGCAGAGACCACTAGGAGGTTGTGGTAATAACCAGTTCAGGCGAGACATATCAGTAACTTGGATTTGGTAATACTAGAGGGAGTAGTGAGAATTGGTTGAATTATGGATATATTTCAGAGGTAGAAACAATATAATTTGCTGGTGGATTAGATGAGAAGAGGCTGTTTCTACGGTGTTTGTACTAAACAGTTGGAAGAATAGATTTACCATTTAATGAGATGGAAAACTAAGAAGGAACAGCTTTGGTGGGAGCATCAAGACTTCTGTTTAGGACATGCTAAATTTGAGAAAGCTTTAAAAGTCTGGAAGTCAGTAAAGAAATTAAGATAGAAATATAATTCAGGGAGTTATCACTATATAGAGACTGTATAAAGCCATAAAAACTGGTTGAGATCACCAATAGATTAAGTGAAGAATGTCACCCAAGAGCACAACCCTTGAATTTTCCAACACTTAGAAAACAAGAAGAGAAAAGAGAATTGGCAGAAGAGGCTGAGATGAAGCAGCCAGTGAGATAGGAGAACCTGAAGAGGGAGGGGGCTGGGTGGATGGATGGGTGAAGTGAGTGAGCAAGCAAACAAACCAAGCAAGCCATCTGCAGGTCAATTGATAAAATAGGGTGATGGTGATGTTACTGCCTCCTTTGCAAGGTTACTGTAGAGATCAAGTATAGAGAATATATATGTATATCCTCTCTTATAGGAACTAGCACCTTTAAAGTATTCAATAATTAGTAGCCATTTTTATTATAAAACAACAAGAAAACATAAGTACAGATTTTTTTAGTAAATACTGAAAATGCTGCAGGAATTACAAAAAGGGAAAAATCAATAGGAATGAGAGTATTAAGAAAGGCCCCATCGACGATAGAGAAGATAGATTGACCCTTGCTTTAAAATGGATTTTGATGGAAGCAGGCAAAGGCATTCCAGATGCTAAAATAAATAAAAACCCAGCAATGAATTTGAGTATATCATGGTGGTACAGTGAAGAGGTGTTTCTCTTCAAATGAAATTTAATTACAAACTTGAAATCATTTGAGGTGGGATTTTTGTTGTTGTTGTTGTTGTTTAGTTTTATTTGAAAGCAAACCTATTTATTTTTAAAAAGCTTTTTCCACTCATAGAAAACTGAGCTCATAGACATTATAAGACTGACCAGTTGCATGGTGCCATCCTCACTTACTCTAGTACCCACAACTGATGATGGTTTTGCATTTCTGCCATTAGGTTTTACCACCATTGAGGGATGTGACAAATCGTCCTGAAGTTGGCTCAACTGTGAGAAATAAGCTGGTGCGCCTCATGACACATGTTGACCTTGGAGTCAAGCAGATTGCTGCTGAATTCCTTTTTGTCCTTTGCAAAGAGAGAGGTAGGTTAAACTCTCTTTGCTCTCTACATTTTTATTTTTCCGAGGGAACTTAAGAAATCTTTCTGTTAGTAGTGGCCGTCTCATTCCACTCTTTTCAGAGCTTACTCCTATCTGTTCTATTAGAGGGCCTGAGGAGATATTAAAAATTAATAATTTAAAAAATTTTCTGTATGCTTCTGAAGTCATTAAGATGTACAAACACACTCACATTAAACTTTGCCTTCTGTATTCTTAACCCAGACTTCTTAATCTTGAGTGAGGACCTGGAGCCATTATGGAAAATCTGCTTAAGTAATTCAGGTGCTACTATTCTGGGTTTTTTTTTTTTTTTTTTAGATTTTATTTTTTTAAGTAATCTCCTCACCCAACATGGGGCTTGAACTCACAACCTTGAGAGACCAAGAGTTGCATGCTCTACCAACTGAGCCAGGGTGCTACTGTTTGGATAACCAGGCAAAGCCCTGGGTTAGTTCCCTTTTGTAATTCCTCTTGGAATTAAAACTGTTGGAGTCTTGGTTTCTTCCCTAGGTTATTTAATAAATAATTATTCAATGTGAGCTACATATACTATGGAAATATAAAATGGAAGATGGAAAGTACAAAAATGCCTAAGATATACCCCTTACCCTTGAGATAAGGATAAGATAGAGGTAGAGAGAAATTTTAATTTTTTTAATTTTAATTTTTTTATTTTTTAAGCGAGCGAGCAGGAGGAAGGGGGAGAGAAATGGAGAGAATCCCAAGCAGGCTCCAAGCTTAGCACGTAGCCCAACGCAGGGCTTGATCCCACGACACAGGGATCATGACCTGAGCCGAAATCAAGAGTCATTCAACGGACTGAGCCAGCCAGGTGCCCCAGTAGAGAGAAACTTGAAAGTAACTATACTACAATGTAATAAACACCATTTTATAAGCATATATAAAGTGATTGTCTTCTGAGATACATCTAACAATTTTAAATATTTCCTAAAATTATATGGGTTATTTGCCCTGCAAAATCAAGTTCTTCAAACAAGGAACTTTAAGTTATCCAGATATTTTTACCTATTTCTTTCTTCAGCTCCTAGTTTTATATGTATATTGGGGCACCTGGCTGGCTCAGTAGGTATAGCATGAGACTCTTGTTCTTAGGATCATGAGTTCAAGCCCCACATTGGGTGTGGAGCCTACTTAAAATAAGAATTTCAAAAAAAATTTTTTTAATTAAAATTTAAAAATGTAGTAGTATAAAAATTCTATCTAAGCAGATTTTATATTCCACTTTTTTAAAGTACCTCAGTTTTGTGAAACATAATTTGGAGGTAGAAAACTTCACTCACTTCTCCCAAAATATTAAGTTCAATTCTCTTTTGTTTTTTTACCCAGCTATATTGAGGTATAATTGACAAGTGAAATTGTATATATTTAAAGTATATTATACACCATGATTTGGGGTGTGTGTGTGTGTGTGTGTATTGTGATGTGATTAACACAATTAATTACTTATGTATGTCTGCTGCCTGCATGGTTCCTTTGTGTGTGTGTGGTGAGAATGTTTAAGACTTATTATTTTAGCAAATTTCAAGTGTACAACACAATACTATTAACTATAGTTAATTTCATTTCTCCTGTCCCTAACCACCATTCTACTCTTTCCTTCTAAGAGTTTTATTTTTTTTTCTTTTTTTAAGATTCTACATGTAAGTGAAATCATATGGTATTTGTCTTTCTCTGGCTTATTCACTTAGCATAATGTTCTCTAGGTTCATCCTTGTTGTCACAAATAGCAGGATTTTATTCTTTGTCATGGCTGAAATATATATATTTACATATTTACGTGTGTGTGTGTGTGTGTGTGTGTGTGTGTGTGTGTACCACCTCTCCCTTATCCATTCATCTGTCATTGGACATTTGGCTTGTTTTTGTATCTTGGCTATTGTGAATAATGCTGCAGTGAACATGGGAGTGTAGACAGCTCTTGGGGATAGTAATTTTGTTTGCTTCTGATATGTACCGAAGAGTTGGACTGCTGGATCATAAAAACTGCTGTTTTTAATTTTTTGAGTAAACGCCATACTGTTTTCCTTAGTAGCTGCACCAATTTATATTCCCACCAATGGTGTGCAAGGGTTCCCTTTTTGCCACATCCTTGCCAACATTTATCATCTTTTTTTTTCATCTCTTATTCTTTTGATAAAAGTCATCCTAATAGGTGTGCAGTGATCTCTCGTGGTTTTGATTTGCATTTTCCTAATGATTAGTTAAGTTGAGCATCTTTTCACAAAAAGACCTGTTGGCCATTCATATGACATTTTTCAGGTGTTTTGCCCATTTTTGTTTAAGCAGGATTTATTTTTAAGTTTATTTTTATTATGAAAGAGATAGAGACGGGTGCAAGTGGGAGAAGGACAGAGCAAGGGAGAGAGAGAATACCAAGCAGGCTCCATGCTGTTGGCACAGAGCCCAATACAGGGCTTGATCCCACAGACCATGAGATCATGACCTGAGCCAAAACCAAGAATCAGATGCTTAACTGACTGAGCCACCCAGGGCCCCTTTGCCCATTTTTTAAATAAAATTATTTAGAGATTTTGCTACTGAGTTTACCCACTGAATTCTTAAACTTTATTTCTAACTGATTCAGCCACTTCAGTTCCTGTTAAGATGGCATATTAGCAACATAATTTTATCAATATAACAATAATAATAAACAGCTATTATATATTGGGGTATCATGTTCCAAACATCCTAGGCCATAATCTCATTTAATTCTCATAAGGACCCTATAATTTAAATATTATTATTCCAGTATCATAAATGAATTAACCTGAAACTTGAGAGTGTTTCAGTAATTTACTCAAGGTTGTACAGTTGCTAAGGGCTAAAGCCCAAATTTGAGTCCTCTCTTTCCATTCTGCCACATTTCTTTACTTAGAGTAATTATCTTCAGCTGTTATCACAAATGTTCTTTTAAATAATTCAGTTCTTTCATGACTTTGAGAAAAGATTGATACAGCATTTTAGGATTAAGTGACTCGTATAGTGCCTTGCACATGTAAGCTGAATTGAATCAATTTTTCCAAGATAAGAAATGAGCTGTTTTTGTAAAGTATAATTATGTATGTATACATAAATCTAAATCATACCTATGTATCTATCCATCAAAAGAGGTTTATCAAAATACATACTAACATCTTATCCATTGTTACCTTTGAGTAGTAGGATGGCTGGTGACTTTTTTTAGTTCTGTGTATTTTGTAATTTTTCTACAGTGAGCATGCATTTCTTGTATTTTTTAAAAAAATTTAGGGTGCATGGGTGGCTCAGTCAGTTAGGCCTCCGATTTCAGCTCAGGTCATGATCTCACCGTCCATGAGTTCGGGCCCCACGTCAGGCTCTGTGCTGACAGCTTGGAGCCTGGAGCCTATTTCAGATTTTGTGTCTCCCTCTCTCTCTGCCCCTCCCCAGCTCATGCTCTGTTTCTCTCTCTCTCTCTCTCTCTCTCTCACTCTCTGAAAAATGAATAAACCTTAAAAAAATTTTTTTTAATTTTAAAGAGGAAAACTAAAGCTTATTTCTTCTATAATTACAGATCTTCATAAATTATATTACATATCTAAATATAATCACCTTACTAAGAGTTAGTGTCATAGCAAATATGGCATATGCATTTATATATGAATTTGTTCAGTGTTTTTCATTTGAAAGTATTAGCTTTGTTCCCTCTTGAACCCTACATTTGAGGTTTTATAGTCCTAACTTTGAGCCCAAAGCCAACCCATATTAGCAAAAGTATATCAGTTTCACTTGACCTTTAGCAATTCTGTGTATGCTCATCTGCTTTTCCTTCCAATCTGATTTTAAGTTTAGTAGATACATTCTTTTGGAATAAAACTTTACCCATTTAACCATTTACTCATAATTTTTGAGCTATAGCCAGGGAATGCAGAAGTATAAAGATAAACAAGGTTTCTGTTCTCATATCACTTACTTTCTTATCAAGGGTTACAAACTCACATGCCTTCAAGTGCCAGGCTGGTAATAAAAATGGACTGGACATAAGAAGGTGAATGAAAACTGAAACTTAACTCATTGGTGGGAAGATGGTGGGTTGGGAGTAGGGGAACAAGAAGATTGTGCGAGATTGGAGAGAAGATATTGCTGCTACTTAGCTCCAACTGGTTGTTATCATGAAGGAACATATGGCAATGTTACCCAGTATTCTAGATTTTTCAGGAGAAGCCAGGATTCTGGATTTTTACATAAAATCTCCCAGTTTTTAAATGCTATCAACTAATTATAATTTAAAACCATCTAGGGGCTCCTGGGTGGCTCAGTCGGTTAAGCGTCTGACTTCGGCTCAGGTCATGACCTCACAGTTCATGAGTTTGAGCCCCACATCAGGCTCTATGCTGACAGCTCAGAACCTGGACCCTGCTTTGGATTCTGTGTCTCCCTCTCTCTCTGCCCTTCCCCCACTCATGCTCTATCTCTATCTCAAAAATAATTACTATAAATGTTAAAAAAAATTTTTTTTTAAACTATCTAGCCAAAAGAAAAAGTTTGTAGTCCACATCCAACTTGTAAGTCATCAGATTTTGGAGTTTGGATTGGGTTTGGATGCAAACTATACTAAAATGAAATAAATTTCAGATAATTCATCAATGTTAAACTTTCCTCTTAAGGACATTCAGCTAAGTTTGAAGTGAAGGTATCATGATGAAGTCTTAAAAGTCAGACCACTAAGTGGAAACAACAGGCAGCAAATTGGGTTAGGAACACAGAAACTAAATTAAGAAGGAAGATTGGGGGGCGCCTGGGTGGCACAGTCGGTTAAGCGTCCGACTTCAGCCAGGTCACGATCTCGCGGTCCATGAGCTCGAGCCCCGCTTAGGCTCTGGGCTGATGGCTCAGAGCCTGGAGCCTGTTTCCGATTCTGTGTCTCCCTCTCTCTCTGCCCCTCCCCTGTTCATGCTCTGTCTCTCTCTGTCCCAAAAATAAATAAACGTTGAAAAAACAAA